GCTAACAGCAGATCTCTCATCAGAAACAATGCGAGTGAGGAAAGAATGAGAAAATACATTCAAAATATTAAGACAGAAGCAATTTTAGCCAAGAATACTGTACCCGGCAAGATTATCTTTCAGGTGGGAAGAAAAGACAAGAACATTCTCAGATAAACAAAACCTGAAAGAATTTACAAGCACCAGACCAGATCTCCAAGAAGTTCTCAAGGGTGTGCTATGTCAGGAAAATTAAATACAGACACACGGAAATAAGAGTTCAAGAACCAAGAAAGTCGCCAACTTAATCATAGGGACAAGTCTGGAGTTCAATATTATATCCCAGAATTTAATCAGGAAAATTGAACCAGAACAGAAGATAAAAGTACATGAGACTGATAGGTTCATGCACCTATCATTTGAACAGAATCCTAACCTGTTTCCTGGCTTTAAGCAAAGTTCCTTGGTGTTTCTTTGATTTAAGTTAAAACTGGTTTTCTTAGTAGTAACGAGTGAACTCACTATTGAAAGTAGTTAGGTTATGTAGGAAATTGTGTGATCAATGCAATGTGGGTGGGAAGGGAATGGAGGACAATTGTGGACACTGGAGGTGGTGTGAGAGGGAGGTGAGAAGGGACAGAGGGTCAGAAAGAGGGGTGGAAATAATTCTAGGAACTAGAATTGGAAATTTATTTTTTTTTTTGTAATGTGCATGATTGAGTCACTATGCAGTGTGTACTGGATGGGAGATTGCATTTTGTGTGCTGTGATGATGCTTAGGGAAGGAATGTAAATTGAGTTACAAAAAAAAAGTTTCAGGAAAAAAATATATCTATTCAATGACTGCAGTAGGATATGTAGCCCCAGCTAGGTGCTACTTTGTAGGATGCGTAAAGTTAGACTTGTGTTCATGGAAATGTGTGTGTCACATGTGTTTGCTATGAGGGTATTTGGATTGATTAGGGTCTTTGGTGATTCAATAAAACGGTATTAAAATAAATAAATAAGAGACCCTGACCTCAAAAAAAAAGAAAAAGAAAAAGAAATTTCAATAAAAATAAATCATTAAAAAAAAAAGACATTTGAAGACTACTGCTCCATATTGTCTCCTGATGTACTCATGAACCTTGTAGAACTATTTACTTCAACATTTTAGAAAGAAACAAGATTACAGATGAATCTGCTTAGCCTCCTGGGCTAACTAGGAATATGATTGTGATGACAATGTGAGTTGGCCAAAACAAGTGGAACTGAGGGACCAAAAACAGGATATTAAAATTGTTTTGTCTTATCCTAGGAGATAGACATTCAATAACTAAGAAAAATAGAAAAAGAGAAAACTAAAGGTCCATGAAATTTATTTAAATGCTTAAGCTCCCTATATCTGCTCATTAGGTGCATTTCCTCCTTATAACAACAGCCACTTAGTAGCTGATTTCCCTCATGGTCACTGGTCTGGAAAGAAAAGAACAATTTCCTGCACTGATTTGCTGTTCTCGAGAGACCAAGATGAAAGTGTGATGAATCCAGTCTTTATTACATCTTCTCAGGGAACTCTCCTTCCTCAAAAGATCATTAGCACTTTTACCAACCATGAGTTTAAATTAAAGGTCACAGGTCAGCTTTTGATGTGGAGGTTAATGTGCTGGATCCCAATTGGATGAATGCATGGTTCAATTCTTGAACACGGTGGCTTGAACATCATGCTGGGCACATGTGCATGTGTGTTCAAAATCCTGAGAGCAGAATAGAGGAGAAGGGAATGCAGAAATGCCAGGCCCCTGGGAGGCGATTTCTTATTTTACCCCTCTCTTTTTCTCTCCTTTTCCATCTCTCTTGGTGCGTGCAAATGTGTCCTATAGCAAAAAATTAAAAAAAAATATTGTCACATACTGCACATGCATGTCTTGAAAAATATTGTGTACTGGAAATATACAATGATTGAATATACATAACAAATCACAAAATAAAATAATTTTTTTTCAAATATAACTGAGGAATTTGTCCTTAGTAGCCCCTTGAATTTCCATAAACTGTGGTGGAGACACAACTGTTGATAACTCCAAGAACATATCTTTTTTTTAATTAATTAATTAATTAATTTAATTTTTTGTTATCATCATAATCTTCTTTATATTACATTGGATTACATATAACCTTACAGTGCATTACAATGCTTTTTTCAAAAGGGAATGCCATGCATGTCAGTCAATACAGAGACATTAATCTCCCCGTTTCAACATTCAAT